AGGCCGAGATGGGCGGATCACGAGGTCAGGACATCGAGACCATCCTGGCTAACACGGTGAAACCCCGTCTCTACTAAAAAATACAAAAAACTAGCCGGGCGAGGTGCGGGTGCCTGTAGTCCCAGCTACTCCGGAGGCTGAGGCAGGAGAATGGCGTGAACCCGGGAGGCGGAGCTTGCAGTGAGCTGAGATCACACCACTGCACTCCAGCCTGGGCGACAGAGCGAGACTCCGTCTCAAAAAAAAAACAAACAAACCTGCAAATACGAGGTATAGGGTGGAAGGGACAGGTCCGAACAGCATCATCTACGCCTCACCTAGCTCTCGGTCCTTTTTCAACATTTCTCCTGAATATGCTCTACACATATTAAACCCACGAGTGGGTTGCATCAAGGCCAGCATCCTGGTGGTGACACTGCACTGTGGTAGGAAAGATGTTACCAACGGGGGAAACTGGATGAAGAGTACAGAGATCTCTCCGTGTTACTCCTCACACCTGCCTAGGAATCTACCATTATCTCAACATAAAACTTTGTTTTTTAATTAAAAAAAAAAAAAAATCTTTGACCAAAACCAAACTAATAACAATGACTCCCATCTGTCAAGTGCCTGGAGAGGCTGATGGTTAACAAACAGCCCTGGAGCCAGACCACCTGGGTTCAGATCTCAGTTCCACCTGTGGCCTTGGTCGAACGACAGCACTGCCCTGGGCCTCGGGGCTGACATCTGACAAATGGGTTTGTCGTGGTGACCACCTCCTTCGGTTGGTGTGAGGAGATGTTTGTGAGCAAGGACCCCACTTGTGCTGTTTGGTTTTTATCGTTATGACTTTGTGGAGGGTTCTGGAAGGCTCTGTACTGACCTTTTATAAGCCTCGAACATTATCTCAGGCAATCCCCACAGCCACACTTCAGAGGCAGGTTGAGGCCCACTTCACAGTTGAGGAGACAGGGGCACCTAGAGCTCAGGTTGAGCGGTGGGTCTGTGGGACCTGGAGGCTGCTGGCGGAAGGGAGGGGGCTGAAGGGCACCTCCTGGATGGGGGTTGCTACATCCCAGTCCTGCCCAGCCCTGGAGAGGCAGGACCCTGCCCTGGCCACACAGGCTGCAGGGATGCTGGCTTTGGGGCCGGGCTCTGTGCAAACCATCATCTCCCCCGAGGAAAAGCACCGAGGCACTGTGTCCTCTGGGGTGTCTGGGATTCAGAGACTCCCCAACGCTTTGCAAAGCTAGGGGCCCGTGTGTCCTCCCGCCATCTTAGGGAGAAGCTGGAGCTGCAAGTCCACCTCATTCCCAGAATCCAAAAGACAGAGGGCCTCCCTCACCAGCTGGGGTCCTACATCTTTTCTAAGCCTGCTCCAATTTTTGTTTGGTTGCTGTGTTTTTGGCTCAAGCCTCATGTGTTGTCCCAGCAAAAATTGGTTTGATATTTCCAGAAAGATTTCTTCTCTTCCCCGAGAACAAACAGACCCGAGCTCCACACAATTCACACCCTCAGGGCTCAGGAACCAGAAAGAATAGAGGAGGAAATCGGTGTTGGAGGCCTGGGCGGGTGCACAAGGGAGAGAGATGCAGCGGGCGCCACATCATGGGGCCACCCCACAGCAGGCGCTGCTAATCCAAGCTATGGAAGAGGAAACTCCGGCCTCAGAAAGGAAAAGTGACTCCCAGAGCAGCAGAACTGGCTGGGGTTGTGGCTCTGAGGACACCACTTAAGAAGCTCTCTTAAATAATCATCTTGTTTTCCAATTTAATAATAATACCCTCCTCTCTTCTCAGCACCACTGCCCTGCAGAGGTCAGGGGCCGAATCTGAGCTCTGGTACTTACTAGCTGTATGCCTTGGAGCAAGTCTTCTGGGCCTCACTTACCCCATCTGTAAAATGGGCACAAAAAATACCTGCCCCATAGGGTAGTGGACACAGTGAAATAGATTAACCGACATGAGGCTCCTGAAATGGTGCCTGACTTACTAGATATTCTCTCTCTCTCTCTCTCCCTCTCTCTCCATATATGTATATGTTAGCTGTCATTAAAGAGGTTTGTGATTTACAGAAAAGTAAGTGGGCCAATGTAGCATTGTAAATACTTATAACAAATAACTGGAATTCATCTTAATTCAAGAAGATTTGAATTCTTCCCAGAAGGCTTTTAAGTTTTCTCTTTGGTTTTGTCTTACTGTGTTTACTAAGGAAGGGAGATCCCCATGCTGATGAAGGGGAGTGTTCCTGAGGTGGCTTTTGGGCCAGTCCTGTGCATGCTCTCGGTTTGGACAGCGAGGCCCTGGGGCTAGGGTAGAGACCAGCACAAGATAGCCGTGTCGCTTTCCTTCAGACCCAACCCACAAACAAAGGGACAGAACAGACGTGGGCATCCTGGAAACCTCTCCCAAAGCTGAGAGCGTTTCTGCTTCACGAAGAACCAGTCCAAAGCGCCCCCACCCAGCTCGCGCCGCCTCCCGGGTGTCAAGTAGGCTGCAGTGGTGCTTTCCTCACAGGCTGCTGTGGCCCTTGGACCAAGGTGAGCCCCCACCCTGGCAGGGCACCCTTAGGGAGCAGGAATTAAAGACAAAGAAACAAAACCTCAGAAGTCTCCAGTTCATTATATGGAAGTGTATTTCCTGAATTTGAATCTAGAAGTTTAGGCTTGGGGCGGTTCTCAATCCCTGGCTATGCACAGAATTACCTGGGAGCTGGTAAAAATAAATACATAATAAATAAAGCAGTCACATGCCCTCAGGGTCTTCTAAGTCCCTGGGGGGCATCTGTGCCTAGGATGGGAGCCTTGGGCTAGGGACAGCAGGAGACAAAGGTCTCTGGAGCAGAAGTGAGCGCCAGTGACAGGAGAATGGGGCAGATCCCTGCCACCTCCCTCAGCCACCCACCCAGCCTCTCCTCATCCCTGCACTTTCCAGAGAGCGCTGCCTGCCTCCCACTCCCCTGACCCTGCCTCATCTTCTCAGCTCCGCCTGGCTGTTAACAGCACCAGGACTTCTCCCCTCTCCCCGGGTCTCTGGCCCCAAAGCGTTTTCAACTCCACCTCTTTCTTATCTGCCTGCCCGGAACCCCATCTTCACCTCCTTCGTCTCCCTCTTTCTGGTTTCCCTTCCTGGTGTCCCAGGCCAGCAACATACTGAGTCCTGCAGCTATGACCTTCCGTATCTCAGCTTTTCTCCTTTGATGCTCAAGAGGTGTAAAGAACAAACAAGCTTCTCTGGGCTCTTATTGATTAATTGAGGCAGCACTCAGGCCCTTCTCAAGCCTGGCCTCCAGCTCTGGCCTCCAGGCCCTGGGAGGGGCATTAAACACACATGGTCCACCTACCCTGGCTTCAGACGTTCATACCTTCTGTCCTCACTCACTCGCCACTACACCTTCCCCTCTGGTCTCATAAGGGCATTCAAAGTAAATGACAAGTAAATCACGGAAGGAATCCTGAAGCTGTTTTCTTTGGATGTGGATATGGAAATTCAGCTAGAAGTTGGGGGAACCAGAACTTAGCCTGGGGACTGGCGATTCTCTCCAGAGCCCTTGGAGCCGCCAGGTGCCAGGCGTGGCTGCTCAACCCCTAGGCTTTCAGTGTCTTTCTTCAGGGCCACTGTCCCTCCGGGCAGTATGCACAGTGGTCAGGAGCCTCACTAAGAAGCGGGACTGGGACACCTCTGGAGGTTAACAGAGCAGAGGTGACATGCAGAATGCACTTGGAATACACCTGGCCCTAGCGAGCGCTCCACAATGGCCTCAGCCCCTATGCACCGTTCTCTGCGGCGCTTTAAAGTCCGTCTGCAGCATGATCTCATGTGCTGCCCTTACCGCCGGCCGGTAGGACTTACAGGAAGGAATCAGGCCGAACCTCTGGAGTGGGTCCGGACTGAAAAATAAACTGCTCTTCTATCTGTGTTGTGGGGAGGAGAGGCAATTTCCTGGAGGGCCCTGGGAGAGGTTCAGTGTTAGGAATGAATCTGTAGAATCTTCTGTGTGATTTGGAGATGAGAAGTGACTGGCAGTTGCAGGCAGATCAGTCAGGGGAGAGCTGTTGGGCTGTGTGCCTTGTTGGGTTTGCACGTTCTGAGGTTATTTGACAAAGAAAACAATGAAGAAGTGAATAAAAATATCCAGTTGTGTTTTTGAAGCACTTTTATTCTAAGACCACTTTCAGGGATGAAGGAGGAAAGACATAGTTATCTGCTTGCCCCAGCTCTCACAGCCGGACGCTGCGGCTCGGGTAAGATCTTAAGCAGTTTTCTTAAGGTCTGGCTTTGAGCTTCTGCCCAGCTCCATTCCCCTGTGCCAGAAGAGTTTAATGAGTAAGAGGGTGGTTGCTGAGAGATGCAAAGAGTCTCAGGAGAAAACGCATCCCAGAAATAAAGGCAAGCCCATGGTCACACAGAAAATAGGAATAAATGCTCAGTCTAACCTCCAAAAAGACCATAAACCCCAGCTCAGAACTGGCTTGCAAGGCATTGACGCATTGCAGGGGGGAAGGCAAATATCTCCTCAGCTAACGAATGTGGGGAAGGGGAGGGATTTTATATTCCAAATGATTTTTTTTTCTTTTGAACATAGACATCTGGTGTCCTATAAATAAAATTCAAAATGTAAATACTGTAAAGCCCATTAGAGAGTGGTTTTAGGTTTGGTGGGAGCACGGGTCAGTTGCTAACCCACTGCACTGTGGTGGGAAAACATCACCCCACACGTGGGTGTTCTCGGCTCCAGCAAGCCGCCCGCGTCACTGCAGCAGCCGGGCTGCACTTCGTCTTATGAATAAACATTAAAACACGGGTCAATTGTCTTATATTTATTATGTTGCACGAACAGTTTTAAATAGCTACCTAAAAACCTTTCTGCTTTCATTTTATACATTGGGGAAAAAAATACCTTGTGAAGGGAGAAGACCGCACTTCTTAAAAGGACCTAAATTCCTGTGCTCACCAATGAAGCCTCGGGACATGCGCTCGGCCAGATTTTAATATCGGGTTTAAAATGCTCTTCCAAAGATATTTTCTGTTTGAGACGTATTAAACAAGCTTTATTTAATAATGCTCAATTTGACTTTTCCCATTTAAATATGTGCTCTGATCAGCAACCATTTGATCCCCGTTTCGTTCCAGGCTGAAGAATCATTTCTCTTGGTTGTTTTTCTTCGGTTCTGGGTTGATCCTGGGGCCGAGTGGCTGCTCTCGAGTTCCCTACATTTCTCGAGTCTGTACTGTGAGTGGAAAGACACAGGGCCATAAAAAGCCTCTCCCAAAGCTGCTGTATAACGTTTACATTGTGTGTCCTCACATCTGTCTGGCTGAAGACAAAAGATACCATTTAAAAGACTCCTCCTAACTGGATAATTATACGGAGAGATTTTATTTTTTAAAGTAGAGCATCCGAATGCAGAGAAATTCCCCAGGCGGTGTTCTTTTTCTAGATATATTCTGCTGTCTACCCTCTGCTTCTCCCCTATTCGGGGATTTCTATAAGAATTGTTTACACCAAATGGCCATCCATCAGCGGTCAAGGATTTTAAGACAGCAGCAACAAGAGGGAGAGTTAGTTTAACATTTTAGTTCAATGTGTTTCACAAGAGGGAATGCCACTGTAGATCCCACTAACCTTAGGAACATTTCAGATCGATCTTGCAGTTCCCGTCATTACTATTCTGACTTTACTAGCATGCTATTTAAAAAGCAGACCTTGAATTTTGGTTTTATATTCTCACGCCACCTTCAGAAAATAGCCACCATGAAGCCCGTGACCCTGGTCCCCCTCTCGAGGTATCGTAAAGCCATTCATAATGGCATAAATGACTGACAACACTCCCGGATACCAGCCCGGGGTAAGTCAGACGGTGGTGAGGGTGGGAGAAACGCTGTCGGTTATCCGTGCACCCTCTCTACAGGGACTGTGATCCCAGCCTGGGAGGAGGGGTCTTTTGCTGTGAAAGGAGCATTTATTAGCGCAGGGCCAGCGCCTGGTTTATGGACCCCGGCCGGGTGGGAGGATGCCACCCCACCCCGCCTGCAGCCTGTGTCCTGGCCTGAAGTGTTTACCGTCAGGGTGATTTACACCATCCAGGTGTTCATTTGGGAAGCATCTCGGCTCTGAGCTGACGCAGCGATTGCAGCGGGTTTGCAGACTGGAGAGTTTTTCTATTCATCAGGGTCCAGGGGCCAAAAAGACAGTTTTCGTAAATGCTGGCCCAAAGCAGCCTCCTCTCCTGTGATTCCACAAAGGAAGGCTGAGTGACCATGTTAGCCAAGCTCCCCGGTGCCCTGTCCATGTTGGAGAAATGGCCCCTTAGTGCAGTTGCCCTGCTCTCTCACGGATCCTCTCATCAGATCAGTTCCTCCCGGCAGTCCCTGACCTCCGGGCTTTGGTGGCCGTGTGGATGCCAAGCCGGGCTTTCCTTCTGCTCCTTTAGCACCCTGGGGCTTTCAAAAGGGTCTTGCTCAGCAGATTCTTTTCTTAATGGAATTTGGGGTTCTCAGATGAGCCTGGAGTGATGGCGATTGCTCCATTTCTCCCCAGCCCCACAGATCAGCCTCTGCTGGGTGCTTCCATTTTAAGGGATGCATTTTCCAGGAGCCGCTTTCTCGAGATAACCACTCTATTATTTTTGCTCACTTTTCAGCGCAGGTGATGGTGTTATTGTTTTGTCACTGGGTTTCCACGGGGAGTCCCTGAGACCTATGCCTGGCATAATTTGAATGCCGAATTAAAACATGCCCCAAGACACTAAGAATGGCCTTTTTGTTTGATTAAAAAAAAAAAATTTTTAATTTGTTTTATCATATCCGTCTCATCTCCATTTAAAGGAGTTTGGACATTTATTAACATATCCATTTTTACACTTGTACTAATCTTTTCTCCAGCCACTTCTGGTACTCTGATGAAAAAACAAGAAAATGTATTTTTTGCCTCATAGAACTCTTTCTACACACACACACACACACACATGCACACACACACACGCGCGTGCACACACACACACGCACACACACACACGCACACACACACGAGAGGGGAGGATTCTTGTAGTGAAGTAAAAGATGATTCTTTGTCTATGTTTAATTTTTGCAAATAATGTTTTGCTAATCCTGAAAGTAACTTTTTTACTGATCCTGAAAATACTGATGCTGAAATTTTAAGAGCTCATTTCATCTTAGCTGGTTTTCTCTGCCTGACGAAATTCTCCCAGAATAGTTTTTTTGCACCCTTGCAAGATGGGTAAACATAAAGCATTTGGTCAAACACAGGTGGGTTAAAAAGGGGGAACCATTTGATCCAGTTTTAGCAAATAATATATTATTCCTTCCGCTTTGAACTCTACATTTAAAATAGTCTTTTACGCCAATGATTTGAATACTAACAAACGCACCTAAAAAGCATCCAAACTTCCCGTCTGTGCTCTTTTCTCCCTGGACTATAAATACGTAAACCTCCCCAACAGAGTGAAAATAGCATTGATTTGCCACACTAAACAGGGAAGCCTTTGCACCAGCAACAACTGTTTAAAATTACTGGTCCTGGGATGACGAAAAAAATGGCAGAAATAAAATAAAATTTTTCATTTCCAAGCATCAAGTTGAAGCCCTTTGAAGCGATCATCGGCTCCCTGGGAAATGCTTTTTCTGTGTCACCTGGCACAGCCAAACATTAAAAAGAAACATGGAAAACATCACACTGACCCAAAGAAAATTGAAAGAAAAGTACTGGAGACCACTTCTCACCCTTGCTATAGACAGAATAAGTATATGCGTTTGTGAACCTCAACTGTTCATCTAAATATGTTGCTTCAACAGATGTCCACTCGTGGATACAGACACATGAAAATACACGAGACCATGCTCTATTTTAAAGAATTGTGGGAGTGTTGAATACTCAAACCCATCGCACAGCACCAGGGCAGCTAAGAGCACAACTGAATGAAACCACCAGAATCATTTATTTTAACCTCCACTGGAGCTGTCCCCAAAAAGCAGGTGACTATTTAAAGTGCTTTTTTCTGGTTTTTTTTTTTTTTTTTTTAAATTCTAAATAACAAGAGAGATAAAAATTAATGTCATTCTATGGGGTCTGAACATTAAAAGGTACGAGAGAGTTAGCCAGGGCCTGCTAAATGGCTAAACAGATTAGTAGCCTTACTCTTCAACATATAAACATCTGAAACCCGTTTCCTGTTTAAGAAAAAAAAAAAAGTCTAGGTAGATGACCTCGGGCACTTTTTTTTTTATTAACAAATGTGAATTGTACATCATGGTGGAAAAAAAAATGGTCCACACTTGGTGGTCTTTCTACAGTCTGTATATGGGAGACAGAGAAAAAAATACAAAAATAAACGTTACCTTCTCACTTGCAGGGTGGGCAGTGCCATTTCTGCAGCCGTCCAGGGCTCTGGCAAATGTTAAGGCTGTCACTGCAGACAGAATCCCCATGGTCTGTCTGTGTGCCTCGATAGAGTCCGAAGAAAAACATTCCTCGCATTCCTGACGGTTGGTCCTATCTCCAGGCCTTGGACTCGGCCCGCAGGCTCGTGTCACCCCGTCAAACGGCCTAGGCCACGGCTAATCTAAACCCCTGCCCTCCCCAGCCGGCCCTGCGGCAGGGTGAAAACTGGGACCAATTTGCTGCCTAAACCCTGAGGATACAGCAAGTTGATTCTCGACCTTTAAGGACACCAGCTGCAATTTGTTCAGCCGAAAAGAGCTTAGCGGTTCTGGCACATTCTGACAAGATACATTTTATAGCGTTTGTGCTAAAATTTGATATTGGAAGTTGGGATTCCAATTTTATGCCTCCAGTGATAACAATAGCAGCTGGAACCTTTAAGAGATGTGTGTATGCCTTCTATCGAAGAGTTACATAATACAGCTATTTATGTCCAACACCTTATAAGGGAAAGATTTCGCCTAAATGCCAATATAACATATAAGACTTTTTCATATTTAGATAGGATGAAAAAATCTACTATCAGTGCAGCATATAATTTTTGGTTTGGAGTATTAGATCTGTGGGGGCTTTCGACATTTTAAGTAAGCATCTCCTTGCTTTAATTTACGAATTCATCGAAGGGCCTTTTTACAATATTGTTTCTGTACAAAAGACAAATACCGATACCTGATTATTTGATTTTCCAAGTCCTTCTAATGAATGTACACAAAAAAAGGGCACAATTTCATGTTGTTTGATTTGACTTCTGTAATTCCCAGCATGCCATAAAGCCATTCAGTGATCCCTTATAAACCCAGGCTGCTTTTGTCTCCTGAAAATGGCTGTGGTTTTGGAGAGGAACTGGCTGACCAGAACCTTGATAATTCTGATGAAGGAAGAGATCTGCCGCTCAAGGAAGAAAGCCTTTCCCAGCAAAGAAACAGCAGTGCCCAGTTCAAGGCAGCATCTGCAGCTCGATTTCGGAGGGGCTTAAATCCCCTCCAGCTTCCCTGGTGATACCACAGCAAGCTTTCAGAGGAGGAATCCCACCACCAAATAGACAATGACTCTTGTTTACACCAGACGCTTAGGAGTGACCACGCGTGGGCCTGCGAGGCGGGCTTGGCTGGAAAATCCCAGCTTCCCTCTTAGTTTTTCTGCTCAGATGGCAGAATCTAATTGAGATGGGAAGAGAACCCCAATTAGCAAAGCCAGGGGTTCGCCTGCACCCACGCATGTGCCGGTTCTGCCCCTTGCTTCAGTTTTCTTTGATGAATTGGACGGTGTGACCACGGGTTAATGAGAAAGCCCAGTTGGACGGTGGCACGCACGGTCATCTGGATGCTCTCTGCTCCTGCCCTGGCCCCTGAGTCTCCCACCATGGACCACAGCCCCCACTGAGGAACACAGAGGTCATGAGGGCCAAATGCAAACACCACTTCTCCTTGGGACCTGTTGGAACCAGGCGTCACCAACTTAAACTTGGCAAAACGCAAGTTCAATTTCTTTTATTCTGAAGTCACAACTTGAATGTAACAGCTCCTAGGCCAATACGATCTGAAAAAGAACTCACAACTGAGCTGACCCCTTCCCACTGTCGGAAAATTGCTTCAGCCTAAATGGAAGGCAATTTCCTTTTCTTTTATAGCAAGAGAACCGCTAAGCTTCACTTAGTGTTTTCCCCCAGTGTCACCACTAAATACCAGCACTTACAAAAAGATCCCTCGTTGTGTCAACTGCCAGGCTGTCTAATATGTTGAATTTTAAATATGTTGGCTACATGATTATTGTCAGAGAGAATCATGCTCCAGATAAGGACCAGGAAGTGCATCTAAAGACAGAATGAATATTAAGAATAAAACTGCGCTGGTCCAGACGTTTTTGCAGAGACTTAGATTTGAAACAATGGCTGTCTGTGTCCTGTGTCCCGTCCACTCAGTGACACTGATGCTGACTGTCATTATCTACATTTCACATCAGAGGAGATGGAGGGAAAGGAAGATTCAGTTTCACAAGGGGAGAACATAACAGATGAGGCTCGACAGTAAATAATAATAATTGTATTAATAACCACCTTTATGGAGTTATTGCCAGATGCCAGTAGATTTCTACTCCTGTTATATCATCACACGTGGAAAGACTCATTTGACCCCCACAACAACCCAGGAGGAGGGACTATTATTAGTTTCATTTTGTAGATGAGGAAACTGAGGCAGAGAGCGGCCAGCCCATCGCTGAAGACCAGGCTGCTGGAGAGTGACAAAGTGTTAGAGTCAGGAGCCCAAGCCAGGCCGTCCACTGGAAGAGCTGGAAAAACAGGAGATAAACATCAGCAGTGAGAGCCCAGGGTCACACCCTAGACTGCCACCTGGGTGAATGAACCATTCTGAGCCTTAGTTTGCGCTTCTGTAAACTGGGGAGAGCAATGGTCCCTACCTCACGGATTTTTTATTGGGATTGCATAAAATAGGGCCTGACAAGTGCATGTCCCATTGGACATGCCCAGCAAACATGAAGTGCAGTGCATGTGGTCTGGTCTGGTCGCCCACCAGACCAAAATTCATTCCCTCACTGACCAGGTCATGACTGCAAGGTTTGCTCCAGGAATCCATCTGAGAACTCTGTCCGTGTTCTCAAATGCCTGGACGGCAAGGTGGCTGAGGGCAGTATCGCGCGGTCCCCAGCAGCCAGGACTCAGCCCGGCTGACCTGTCCCCAGCCAGCAGAAGATGATCCGCAGATGCCCACAGGAAAGGGATGCATTACCAGGTCCACCAGCCCTCCCAGGGAGGCCATGTGCAGAGCCCCACAGACAGCTCCAGGCCCCGCCGCCAAGTCTGTGTCCTATATACAATGTCATCTGAGGGTGGCACAGAACACCCGGCTGGCTTGCTGGCCACCCACCAGCCTTTCAGCCACCCTGGCTGCCCTCTGGTTTCTATTGTGTCTGTTAAAAGGCAGACCCCTCTGGATGCTTTCCTCCGCTCCTTTCAAAGTGCCTCCGCCCTCACCCTTCAAACATCAAGTTGATGGTTGTACCATGAGCCGCAGGAACAATAAACAGCCCTGAAGCCACTCCACTCAAGGCCTCGAGGCCCTCCCGACAGCCGGACGCCTGCTCTGCCACGGGGGCTGGGCAACACAAGTGGGGGCTTGAGAGCTGGTTCAAATCCTGCGTCTGCCCCCTGCGAGCTGTGTTTGCTCAGACAAGTAGCTTGCCCTCTCTGGATCTAGTTTCCCTGTCCACAAAAGCACAGCAGACATGGGCAAAGTGCTGGCTTGCAATTCTCAGTAAATTACGGATTATCAGATCCCTATTTAACTCAGGCAACAAAAAGAAAATACTTGATTGTGTGGAGAGCAATAACTCTTAAAAATGGGGTGGCCACCCCATAATAAGAAAAGCTAGGAAAAAACAAACCACAGGACGCGGTGATTTGGCAGGATGATACACGGAGGAAATTCTGCCATCAGGAAACAGTATTGTCCGTAGGTTTTCTTCCTACCTTCTTCCTTTAATTGCTAAATAAAATCTTCAATCACTGAAAAATTACTGTAATATCAACAAACATGCTGTTCCCAGGGGCACCAGAGAATATATTCTTTAAATATATGGCACTTTAAATATATTCTTATATTTAAAGTATCTACACATTCATAATTAAAATATTAATGTTTTACAAATACAAAAAACTTGAAAAATAGAGTGGCAGGATTGTGGTTGAGTTCTTTTCTGTAATACATCTTTTATTAATGTCTTATGTTTTTTCTTCCTCAACTTTTTCTGTGAATTTCTTTCCATATACACGTAGTTGGAATCTCGGTGTGGCTTTACGTAAGTATTTTAAAGTGGTGAACAATATTCTAACACAAAACCGTCTTCCTCCCTATTCTTGGGCATTCACGTTGTTAAATTGATCTCTGTTCTAGAAATATTTCACCCGTAGAGCTTTTTACCATATTTTGGCACCAATTCCCAGTAGTGATAAGAGTCGAAGGCCACCCACATCGGATGATCCTTGATAGACTTCAGTGTCACTTATTAAGGAGCCTCCCCTCGAGGACATAAAGAACCTACACTCAGGCAACACCCTATAGGTCAAAGTTCAGGGGAAATGACCCCACGGATGGGTGTTTGCCTCTGACTTGAATCTGCACGAACTTTTACTGGGAAGTGGAGTTCATGAAGATTTTTTTTAACTGTCACAAGTTCTTTGGGGAGAGTAGCTTTATGGATGAGATTAGAATTAAGAGAATTGTTTACAGATAATACAGAGAAAACATGTCTGCTAATTAATTAACAACAAACCTTAAAAAAATAAAGGGAAATGCCAAATGGCCATATTAAAATAAAAACAGTCAGTCCCTGAGCAACATCATCTCTTAAAACCCCCGCGCGTTCGCGGTTGAGGGAGGCTCATGGAGCCGAAATCACAGACTGTGAGGGCTGTGAGGGGCTTTGGAATTCCTCCAGCCCAGCGGCACGCTCGGAGCCCCTGGGGATCTGACGAAAGGGCAGGTTCAGATTCAGCAAGTCTGGATGGGGCTGAGGGTCTCATCACTAACTAGCACCAGGGAGGCCAGTCGCTGGTCCCGGAACCACACGGGGTAGCCGGGGTTTAGAACAGAAAGGACACGGATTTCGTCTGTTTGGGGTAGTGGCTTCCTCAAGCCTTGTTTGAGAAGGATTTGGAACAACAGATCTTAACTTTTACTATACTTTAGAATCACCAGGGGAGGGTTTTTAAACACCTCCTACGTAGGTTGCACCCCCAGCTAATTGAATCAGAATATTTGGGAGTGCGACCCTGGTACTGGGATTTCTTCAAAGCTCCCATGTGATCCCAACGTGCAGCTGAGGCTGAAAACTGGTGACTGAGATGATGCTTCTTCGAGCCTGGGCAGGAGGGAGCTGAAGGAGGGACTGGTGATGTCTGCCAGGAGGAAGGCGGTGGCAAACACTGCAAATCTGCCGTCACTGACCTGAGGTTTGCAGGAGTAAGAGACATACCCAAAGTCTCGACTGTAGTGGAGTTAGGGAGTTGGGACGTCCATCTTCAGACTCTCACCTTCAGACTTCTCTTTTTTCGTTTTTTCTTTTTTCCTTTTCAGACAGGGTCTCACTCTGTCATCCAGACTCTCCACGCAGTGACGTGATGATCACAGTTCATTGCAGCCTTGAACTCCTGGGCTCAAGAAATCCTCCCACCTCAGCCCCCCAGGTAGCTGGGACCACAGGCATGTCCCACCACACCTGGCTTTTTCCTCCTGGTCTCCAGCAGTCTTCCCACCTTGGCCTCTGAAAGTGCTGGGATTACAGGTCTGAGCCACCGTGCCCAGCCAGACTCCAGGTATAATTCAAGATTGACATGGGCAGGTAGAGGTCCCTATCTTGAGGTC